GAGCTGCAGGGCTGATGATGAACATCGATCTGAAGCCCAACAAGCTGGAGAAATGTTTTTAGATGTTCGCCTCGTTATACATTCACTGACACGAAGGTGAGTTTTACTTAAACTTTGTGGCTAACATTAACGTTAGCTTATGCTAGTAGGCAATATTCTCGGACATTGTTCTTGTAAAATGTGCTATTTAAGTATCTAAACATTCTAACGGACAATGTTTTTATCTTATTTTCAAGTATATTATGTGTGTTTATTGTCGTTAGTGTCACAGACTAGGGGAGGTTACGGTTCGGACTTTTTACTTCTGAAGCCTGACGGAGCTCAACAAGCCTCATAGCTTAACAGTAGCGCAGCTCTGGTGTCAGAGATCTGGTTCCGCTGACCGTTCAGGTTCAAAGTTGCTGCTTTTAGAAAATTATGATCGTGTTGCTTCATGTTTCCGTGTTATTTCGTTTTATTACCTTTGCATGTTTCTTGTGATGAGCTCAAATAGGACGGTGTTTACAGCAGTGTGTACAGGCGGATCAGTTGCTCGGCTGTCTGGCTCTGGTCTGCTGTCTCGTTCCCATATACTCGCTTTTTCAGGGTGAATATAGAAGTGATTCCATGGAAATAACTCAGGCAGGCTCCTTTATTTACCGTATCCCCGGTAGTTTTAGGCTGATCCGGAGTGAAGTGAAGGCTGCAAACTAACTGGTAGTGGCAAATATTTACAAGCCACCATCTTCTTAATTCAGGATCGCTTGGAAATTAATGAAAACTTAAAAGCCCATTATATTAGGAAGACAACAATGTTCATAGTATTGCTTTATTTGTGTTTGAAATACGACTTTGTGTTTTCTAGCTGTCAGGGTAACTCAAAGCGGGAATAAGAACGCTGTATTTCGCTCATGCACCATACACCGCAAAGAGCCCATTAGAAAATCAGGCTTTTTAAAGTCAGTGAGGGGTTATAAATCTGCAGTCAGTGCACCCCCTAGTGTCCGGTCATGTTAGTACAGCTGGAGTTCTGTTCAAATGAAACGGCTGCTAAAAAGCACTTATTTCCCTTAAAGCTTTTCTTATTCCATCACATTTTATAAACAAACTTCAATATGACAGATCAGAGTTTAACTTTGACTTTTCTTGGATCTCAACCATCCCCTTTTTGCTCTGACGTTTGAAGGTTGAACCTCTGCTCTCTACAGAACCATTGGGTCTATAAAGGGCTGGGCAATATGGACTCAAAATTATATTGCAATATTTTGTGGTAATGACAAATTATTATTAAAAAACAATCTGTTTCTTACTTTTGTAGGTAACTGTATGGCTATAACTGCATTCATAATGTCACAAACACAAATCCTTCTCCTGAATAATACTCTCATTTGAAACGGGCATCTTCAGGGCACCACAAAATGAATCAAAGCTGAGAAAATGTACCTTAATATAGTAAATTGCTCTGCATTTTATATGGAGATATCCAAGTAGTGGAATACATACAGTTTCCTTCCACTTCACAGCTACTTTGTGCTAATTTATCACGTGAAATACATTGATGTTTGTGTTTTTAATGCAACATTTTATTTTATTTATTATTTATTTATTTCAGAAATGAAAGGGGCATTCTTTAGACTTGGTCCAGTTTTAACTCTAAACTTTGTTTTGCAGTTCTGGAACCAGAAACCTTGGAGCCAGCAGTACCAGCCTGGATATTACTAAGACAGTTGTTCTTATGGACTGGTGGCTGACACTGAGAACCCACCACTAGCCACGGAACATCCCCTCTCTCCCTCCCGCCTTTACTGTTTGACTTTGTTCCCCTAAAACCCACTTTTAAAGGTCGAAAACCCACCAACTTCCAAAACAGCGCGAGACGATTTGATCTGGATCCAGAACATTCCACCAGAGGAGAGCAGGAAGCAGAAAACGTAATCAGAGCTTTATAAAGTATATTTGATTGTGGGTTCTGTCTCATTCAGACACTGTTTGGGTATTTTTTATTTTATTTTCTTTGTTGTACATTTAAAAAAAAAAGTCCCCCCTGTTCAACCACTTTTTAAATGACATGCTTTTAGAAAAAATTGTTTGTAAAATCAGGAACAGGAAACAGAAGTGGGGCGATTTCTGATTTTTTTTATTTTATTTTTTTTTTCCCATTTGTTGTTCTTCAGGGTTGTGCATTTTATCTGTGCTGTGATTGCTTTGATTTGCTTTTTTATTACAAATTGTAAATATTTTTTTTCTCTGTAGCTTGTCAGACTGTAAGAAATGTGACGATTGACATAAACAGGAAAGCAGGACAGCTTCTGTTAGTAGACTGTTCATGTCAGCGCTTTAATGTTCAACAGTTAAACAGACGATGGTAGATTAATGATTTTTTTTTCTTTATTTGTTCCCACCATCAAACTTGTAATATCATAGACCTACAATAAACTACTTGTTTGCTTTTTTTACATTCATCCCGGCTTATGGCTTTCATTTATGTCAAAGGTGAGTAAATGACCTTTGAAGAAACAAAGCGAAACGTTAGTGTCGCATATTTCCGTTCTCTCGCTGTAAATAAATTTTAGAAAGTATTTCAGCTAAGCTGTTTTCAGGACAAAGCAAAGCCATTTTATACTCCATTATGCCTTTTTCTTTTTAAATTATATTTTTTGTGTGTATGTGTGCACTGAATCTTATGATGGCTTGTTGAGGCCATTATAGATGGGAGAAAAATGAATTTCTACCAAAAACTCAATTTTTTTTTTTAGATCTAAAACATCAAGTCTTTAGACTTTCTTTGAAAAAACAAGGACATTTCTGATTTTGAGAATTTGCTTCAAACTCATAAATTAGAAGATCTGAAAAATTTGCTAGGAAAAATTTTCCTTTTTTTTCTAGAAAATTTGAGATCGAAAAGTTACATTTTCTAGAAAATGAAATTTCTGAGTTTGAAAATTTGCTTGAAACTCTGAAATGTTGATTAATCTGACATTTTGTAGGAAAAAAATGTTTTACTTTTAAAACCTGAACTTGCTTTTTTTCTAGAAAACTTGAGATTCATCTCAATTTGAATGTTTTACCTGGATTTTTTTTACTTTAAACTCGGAAATTAAATAAATAAATTCTAGCAAATTTTTTGACTTTTCAATCTCTGAAATTTCCATGTTTGTTCTTGGAAAGTTCTTTTTTTCCAGAGATTTACCATTATCTTTTTTTTTTTTTTATCTACAATGGCCCTGACCCTCCGTCATAGACTCCACCTCATTCTCAGGATCTTTTCTCGGTTCTATCAGATGCTCCGTTACTGCAGTAGTCCTCTGAGACACGGCGAGCACTGAAGCACAAATAATCGCAAGTTCACACGTTTTTCTTCTTTCATTTTTTGATTCCAGTTCAGATTCACCAGCAAATCTAAAGGGCTCAACAGCATCACCAACTCTTTGTGAGCGCTTAAACCCGTTCATGTTGGTGACCCTGTGGCCTGGCAATAAGGGCAGCTCCCCCTCTCCATACCTAACCAGCTCATACTGTCTTCACACCAAACATCTCATCTTGTTTTCATCCCCTCCCAGCTTGGACATGCTGTCAAATTAGCCCGGACTAATCCAGTGGTTTCCAGCTGTTTTTCTCTGATTGTTTTAGTCATGCATGAATGTTAACACTGTAACTAATTAAAGGTCATCCCTCCAACTTGACTGCAAATGCCTGGAGAGTTTGTACAGGTTACATACATGGAGCAGAATGCAAAATTTGAATTAATGGCTTGACTTTGGAAAAAAAAAAACACTTTTTTTTTATTGTTGCTGATTTTTCACTACTAAACCAACATTTTGAGACATTTCGAAATGTGTTCCTTTACATTTAATGGTTGTATTTTGAGTTATAAACTTAAAATTGCCTTCTTTTTTTTTTGTCTTATGGAAAAAGACACTGGAATAAACTGATTTGGTTCAATACGGTTCCTCTTGAGAGCTTTTAATGCTCGATTGCTGTTGGAAAAAATTCCCACCACTCCGATCCAATTTTCCAATAAATCCTAACGAGTTCAATCAAGTTCAATCCCAATGTTCATACAAAAGAGATCGGTTTTTATCAGATCGGTTTTTTTGATTTGATTATTTAATTTTTTTAAATTTATCTCTTTTTTTCCATCAAGGCTATGGGTTTTGATAATTCATAGTGATTTCAGCATGCCCCAGGCACAGCTTGTATTTATTTGGATTTTGAATTCAAGTCAAATCTATGACAAAATGTTAGTCAGGCTTTGATTTTATGTTTGTTTCTTGATTATGAGAAGAAAGTTGTAATATTTAGAGAATGAAGTAGAAATTTTATGAATACTCCAACACAAAAAAAATAAATTTTAATGAGGAATGTGGAGCATTATGATTGAAATAAAAACCACTTTTTGAAAATATTTTTTGTGCCATTTGTAATTTATATTTATAGAAATGTTTCTTAAAATATGATTTTATTTCCAAGCTAATTACCCAATTAGCCTCTTTTCACTATATTGGATCTGATTGGGGCTTGGCAGGTATAAAGGAATTGATCAGAATTTTGTTTTGGCAAACAAAAGAAAGCTGAAAAGTGTGGTGTATATTTGTTACTGTGACACCTTAAATTAAAAATCTGAGCCACAAACTTCCTTTAAAAGTGATCTAGTTCTCCAGCTCAGTATAAAGGCACTTGTACTATGAAGACCTTGAAGGTTTGTTAGAGATCAACCAGCACCATGACCACCAGCAGACAGGTAAAATGTAAGAATTTTAATAGCTTTATTTTCATCTCGGTGTAAACAAAGCTACATTCTGAGTTGTACATCTCACAAATCTCTGTTCAATCCGTCATCTGAAAATGGAGAGTATGAAACAACAGTAGACACATTTTACCCATGATGATTAACGTCTCCTGTGGTCTTTGCTGCGCACAGTCGGATAATGGGGGAAAAAGTAGTTGTCCCATCAGACTGTCAGTTCCTGAAACCACACAAAAAAGGTAAAAAGCTCATGGCTAACAATATTGCTCCTAGAGTTTTGGCGTGAATATGAGTGATGCCATACAAGATATTGTGAAGGAAAACGAATTAAATCCACCAACCCTATGATGAAACATGGTACCAGCAGCATCATACTGATTTGAGTTAGAAGAAAACCTGTAAGAGGATGAAGCAGAGGCTCAATGACCAGCATGCGAATAAAACATACTTATGTGTTGAGATGGCCTAGACAAAGTTCACCAAAAAAAACATGTAATTCAGGATCTTTGTAAAGAATTAAAAGTTGATGTTCACAGACACCTCCATCCATCAAATATTACTGAACCTGGGTTATATTGAGAATTAAGTAAATTAGCAAAAAAATTCTAAATTAGCTAGAATTAGCTAGACCTTACAAATTACTTATCCAAAGAAAAATTAGCTAATTCAGCTAAAATGAGTAAATTAGCTAGAATTACCTAAATCTCAGTAATTATTGACCCAAAGAAGAATCAGCTAAATTAGCTAGCCAGTCCTCACAAATTACTTACCCAAAGACCAATTAACTAATTTAGCTAGAATGAGTAAATTAGCGAAATCTCATATTTTATTGACCCAAAGATTAAGCTAAATTGACTAAATCAGTTAGAATTGGCTAAATCTCACAAATTAGTGACCCAGGCTGTGGCTGTAAAGTAACAGAATGCTGCAAAACTAAGACAGGAGACTGCTGAGAGTCTTTGCTGTGTTGACCCTCATCAGCAGCAGATTAGTAAATGACAAGACCCCCCGCTCTGAGAGCAAACACTACATTAGGGGTTGACTGTGATGAGCGACGTTTGGCCCGGTCTAAGGTCGATGAAAACTGCATAAAGAGCCCAGCGTCATGCCAATTGACTTTCAGTTTCACTGTATGCACCAGCTAAAACCTTTCCTTCCTTCTTTCCCACTGCAAATAAAGCATTACAAGCCGAGACGGGATAACATGAGTCATTAGGGAGATTATTTGCTTCCTGAAGGTGAAAGACGCAGGCAGCTGCAACCATGACGGCATTGGAATTCAATCATGAATGTGAATTGAGGCAGACAGATAAACCAGCACAGCAGGAGAATCGTGAGGAACAAATATTTTATTTTACAAACATAACCTCATTCATATTATATATATATATATATATTCAGCTATTTTTAACAAAAGGGATGCATAACACAGAATCTGAATGATTGCACTAGAGTGAACACAACTCAGACAAATTCATATTTCAAAGAAACAATTCTTACAAAATCTATATAAGTGCTTGTGGACTGTGGAGGGAAATGGAGTTTACTGGCAGAGGTGAGTCATAATGTGTTGTATGTACGCCGTTACATTTACTTGAGTAACTTTCAGTGAAAAGATGTTTTAATTCTTACTTGAGTAATTTTATTTTGAAGTATTGCTACTCTTAGTTGAGTAAAAATTCTGGATAATCTACCCACAGAATGAAAAACAAGTTTGTTTTAACCAAAAATTCACCAAACACAGACACACATCTGCAGTTTTTGTTAAAAATTTATATTGAAAGAAATTGATCCTGAATTTGTATTTTTTATTTTATTTTTTTCTGATTTTGCTATTTTGTAATGATGTTATTTCTATGAATAATTTTAATTTTGGTCCTTAAAATACCAAAATTTCCACAAAGCTTTATATTCTGGTCCTTCTGATGATGTAATGTTAAAATACTAGATTATGTTTCAAACACTTAGAGCTGGAGTAGCATTTTTACTAAATACTCTTTTACTCTTGAGTAATTTCTTTACTTTTTACTTTTACTTGAATAAAAATATGTTGAAGTAGTGCTACTCTTCCTTGAGTATAATTTTTGGCTACCCCACCCACCTCTGTTTGTTGGGGGGAATAAAGCTCTCCATCCGAACGTCCATTTAAATAGAAAGTACTTGACAAGTTGGTTAAAAACATTAAATAAAACAATACCTGGCCAAAAAAAACAAAAAAAAAAAAAAACATTATAATTTCCCTGTAATTTTGCCCAAAAGTCCGTAACTACTACTGCCTTCATACGACAGAGACGTTGTCCAGCATGCACGCACACCTTTCTACAATCATGTTGGGGAACTCGGCCACCTCTATTTCAGTGTAGTCTCCCTTTTTCACCAGGTACATGATGGGCAGCGGGGAGCTTTCTGACACCACGCACCGCCGCTCTCCGTAGCTGTAGTTGCGTTTGGGCTGCTTGCATCCTCCGGTGCACCTGAAGGCCTGGTAACCCGCCGGCTCGATGATCCAGTACTGTGTCCAGGTGAGCGCGCGGAAGTTGATGAAGTGCTGTTCTCTGCAGCACGTGTCCTTATTCTGGTTCGCATCACAGTCGCCGCCGGAGCTGGAGGAGAAACAACGAGGAAAGTTAGCTAACCGAGGCTAACAGACTTCAGACAGGGCGGGAGGGTGGTTGTTATGCTAAAGGCTAAAAGGCCTTACATTTTTTATCTGCTGCGAGCGCAGATTCTAATTATTAATTGAAGCTGTGACTAATGTAGTCAAAGAACGCCAACATAGTCAATGGATGCTAAAAAGAACACCAACGTAGTCAAAGAATGGTAGAAACAATGCTAACGTAGTCCCCCAAAAAAAACAAAACTAAAAATGTAGTCAAACAATATTACAAAGAACGCTAACATAGTCAAAGAACACTAAAAGGAATACTAAAGTAGTAACAGAATGTTAAAAATTATAAAAACAATATCATTGCAAGCTTTCCTGCATGGGACATTTGTTACTATTTGATAGTACAACTTAAATGTGAATTGATAATAATTTAAGTAGTTGATATTTAAATATTAACTTTAAGTGCCTGATGCTGATTTTTTAGATAGGATGTGTCACATTGCAATTCTAAAGGAGTCAAGGCCATGAATTGCACAGCTGCACTCCTGGTTTGGACACATTACAGCATTTTTTTTCTTTTTCTTTTAACATATTTACATCACGACTAAGAAATATAGTACTAGAAATGTAGAACTACAACTATTGACAATCTGCTTTTATTATTCCTAAATTAAGCGTTTAGTATCTCTCCAAACCAGAGTCAAATGCTAACAGGTAGGAAACAAAACAGATCACGCGGCCTCATTTTCACACTGACACGAGCAGATATCAAAAAGCTCTCGCGCTCACCCGTACTCTTCCAGGTTGAGTGTGTAGAGGATGAGCTCGGGTTTTCCCAGGGCGTTATCAGTCTGCTCCTGGGTGGTAAAGTGCACACTCCTGGCCATCTCCGCGGCGTAGCTGCCGGGTCTCTCGCCCTCGATCCACACCTCGAGGTGCATGGGCGCCTTCTGCTGCTGCGTCTTGGACCAATAATGCACGGCCTGGGTGACATCAAAGCTCTTCCAGCCAGTCTCGTGAATTGGGATCAACCTGTGAAACACGATAAGGGCGATCAATTAAAAAAAAAAAAAAAAAAAATTTTCGGAAGGAGAGTCTAAACGTTTTCTTTGTTGTGCTGCTTAGGCGCGTCTCCCTACCGCGAATCCACAAGGGAGGTCCTGTTGGAGCCGCTGGGCAGCACCTCCACCCAGTAGATGCTGACCCGGGCGTTGTTGACGGGCCGGTGGTTCTTCTTCTCCACGGTGTACCGTTTGTGGTGCGAGGCCCGCTGGTAGAGCTTCAGCTCCGCCATGGTCACCTCGCTGTTATCCGGGATTCTCGCCTCCATGTCGAACACCATACGAAGCCGGGTGGTGTCGGAGTACACGTACTCCCCGGAGATATCTAGAACAGCGAGAGCAAATTTGTGCGCTTTGGTCGGTTTAGTCGCGTTTGGATGTGCTACGGTGACGCAGTAGGGGGTGCCGGTGCCAGAAGGGAAACAGATGTTATATATATATATATATATATATATATATATATATATATATATATATATAACTGACATTATAACTGACATTTTATAAGTCAGTTATAAAATGACAAAAAATTAAAGTTAACATTATGAGAATAAAGGAGAAAAAGTCATACTCTTACGAGAATAAAGACAGTATTATGAAAATAAAGTCATAATATTACGAGGATAAAGTCGTAGTATTTTGAGAATGAAGTATCTCTGCTAATACTACGACTTTATTCTCGTGTTATTTCGACTATTCTCTTACGACTTTATTCTGGTAATATTATTACTTCATTCTTGTCCGACTTTATTCTCGTAACTTGATTTTTTTTTCTTCTTGTCTCTATTTTCATAGTTCCGCCCCTGTTGCCAAAAATGAGTAGTTTGCGCAAAATTACGCACAAGAATCACAGTTAATGTATTTAACTAAATGACTTAAAAAAAAAAAAACACCCACTCTCGTTGTGCGTTACCTGCATTGCCGGGAACCCCCCTCAGGATGCCCACCAGGCTGGGCAGAGATCTGCGTCTCCTCCGGCTGTGGTGCGTCTTCAACATGGAGAGGTATTTGTTCTTGATGTGCGCCGGAACTACCAGATTCTCCAGGTCCCTCTTTTGGATTTTGGGAACTTCATCCAAGCCGAGCTTTTGCAGTAGCGCGTCCTTCATATCCTCATGCGTAAACGCGCCGCTGGGAACCAGAAACGCGGCGCACAGGACGCAAAAAGCGCGGAGGAAATACATGATGAGACTTTTTAGACAGCGCGACACCAAAGCACAAGTCACTGAACAGAAGCACGGCTTGTCCGTGACACTTCACCGGCCCCCCTTTATATCGCCGCGGCCCTCCCAGTCGGTTCGCACTTTGTCGATGGGGGCGGGGGGCCCATCTTATCAGAACAAAGGTGCGACAATACAGCCCCATCTTAAACAGGATATCTAAGTGGCCATACTTCAAACAGAGACCATTAGCTAGACTTGAGTGCCATCCACAATGTGGAGGCGTGTATTCACCAGAGCTGCACTAAAAATATGTTTAACCTCCATATATGACATTTATCCTGGAAACAAAAGAGCTACTTCAAAGATTTCATGCATTTTGTGGGACTGTTATAAAAACATAGCTCCTGGGATCGTTGTGTTGTCTTTTCACGAGTCTCTAGAAACAAAAATACCCATTTGGAGATTTTTTAAAATGACAGAGGCGCTCCCAGGCAGAATTCATTTGGGGCCTTGTAGCTCATTTTAACTGACTCTTACAACTAGAATATTTTTACTCTGAAAACAACTTTCTATTCATAGACATATAATTATCTGAGTATTATTATTGGTCAGTGAATTTGCTTGTCCTGCTATTAGAGTCAGTTTGTAACAATTTTGTTTTTATGTAATATTATTTATTTGTTGGTTCTTTAGCAGGCATATGAACACCACAATATGTTTTTAATGACTTGTTTCTGATCATTAAGTGATGTATTACACTGATATAAAGGGGGTCGGATTAAAGAAGTGTTCACTTCTCCCTACTCCCTCTCAAACAGTAACAAAAGTGGTAATTAGCTCATTATTTTTTGTTCTTTCATCTTTTTAGGTTCACTTTCTCAGATATTTATTTTAAACTATTTTATGTGTTCATTTTTAAAATTATTTTTACTCATTGTTTTTTTAGGCCTTTGTAGCCCTTTGAGATGTCAAAATATAAAGGACATTGTAAATAAAATCTATTATTATTATTACAAAGTAGCTGCTTTGTATACTTATATCTTTGGATATGAGCATGCCATTAAATATATATTGTTTTAAATTATCCAGATAGAGTGGTTATTAAAATGTGAATGTTTTTGCCTATATTGTTTCGGCTATAAAATTAACCATCCTTTTTAGAGTTTGCAACTTGAATTTCTACAAAATGATCCTTCAAGTTGTGTGTTCCCTGCACATGTCCCCCCACCCCCCCCAGACAGACAGACAGACTCTTGACCCTGAAGTGCCCTCTCCTCGGCGGCCCACGCTCTCCACGCGTACATTCCACCGCACGACGTCAGCCCGGGTCGGTCTGGCAGGAGCCCGTCGCTCAGCGGGGCCTTGCTGTTGTCTGGGTTGCCAGTTTTGTCCAGCGGAGGCTTCATGGTGGGGCGTTAGGCATCTGACCAACGTGCAACAGACACAAGAAGTCGTCTCTGAAAGGAGAAAACGAAAGAGAGCAGAAGGATTAGATGTTTATTCCACACTCTGAAACAGTCCAGCAGATTAAAATTATTAGCCAAACAAACTGTTAATCCAGCCCCCCTCCATCCCTTCCCACACCGCTTCACTGCCCCCCTCTCCCTCTCCTTAGCTCCTAGCCTGCCCATGGATGTGGATTGAGGCAGGCTCTTCACAGGCGGGTGATTATCTGATTCCATTGCGAGGATTTGCCTTGCCTTTTTTGTCACACAAACATTAGAAGCGGTGAGCTCTCGCTGGCTAACCCCCAGAACCGTGGGCCCTCCTGGTTGTGTATTGGGCCCGCGTTTGCTCAGAGATGTCAGACAGACTGAAGGGGGCACACAGGAAGAGCAAATGACAGATGACTGCCAGACCTGCGCTCATCAGCCAGCAGCTTTCCTACAAGACAAATTATTAATTAGCGGCAGGGGAAGCGATGGGACCCTCCGCCGCTGGTTTGGAGTACGATGAGAAAAGCACACGAGGTGATTCCAAACAAAGGAGGTGGACAGATCTCCTGCCATTACATTTGCACATTACATTTGCTTCTTTTGGAAGAAGCAAAGAAGAACTGTGATCTGTGTTTCAACTTTTTGCAACAAAAAATATTAAATTTGCCGCAGTATATTGCAACTGTCCACATACAGAGGGCCAGACATTGCGTATATGTTGCTCCGCCTCTGTATGCTCAGAAAAGAATCCAAAATTAATTTTTTTTTGGGTTGATTTGATCATTTTAATTAAGTTTTCTTCCCCGAAACAAGCCAGCATCGGCCTATGAGATCATGCTGGTATTGTTCCTGAAATGACTGATTTTTCCAACAGAAGTTACACACATCTAATAAGTGGAGATCAACATGTGATTTATCTAAAGAGAGTCACCGACTTGCAGCTTTCAGCACCAATAGCAACAATCTCTTAGGTTGTGTTACGAACTTTGCAGCAATCCCTTGCACATGGTCCAATTCAGAATCATCTTTCATGATAATACAAATAAAAAAATCAACTAACACCTGGTTAAAAAGGATGCAATATCATAGTTCGGTGCAGTCAGGCGTGGATTCTGAGGATCCCCTCCATGGCAACCACAGTGATGTTCATGGCTTTAGCACTAGCATTGTTGCTAAACTAGCTAATGCCGGACACAAACTTGAACCATTGCTCCAATACAAAAAAGTTATTAACTTTCCTTAAATCTTATGACCCTACTTAAGTTTTTTAAAAAGTTGATTATGCAACCCATGTGAACATAGCAACAAAACATTTTACAATCAAAATGTTAAGTTATGATTTGTGACCAAAAAGCTGTTAATGCTGATAGAGCATACTGACAAAAAAAATTGGAAAACTAGAGCTACTTTTTGTTGGAAATTTACACAAACCAAGATTACATTGGGGTTCCCCCAAGTCTCCATCCTCGGGTCCCTTTCATTTAGCATCGCTCCTTTAGTGCAGTTCTAGTTTCACGTCTCTTATCGTAGACCCAAAACTCAATGAGGTTTAAAACCCATGAGTGTGTAAGAAACCTAGATTCAGAGCTCACTTTTAAAGCCCTCATAACACCTTTAACCGTGTTAGCATACTGTTGAATTGTAAAAATATCTACGAATGGATTTATGTAATTTGAATACTGTAAGGAAAACAATCAAGCAGTTGCTTGCCATTCTAAATATCTTGATCAACACCGGAAAAACGTTTCATATCCCATCAGACATATAGCAGGCATGGAAATTCAGAACAGATCTGTTGTCCAGTCCAGCCGAAAAAGCCTGTGTCTCTCCGCAGCCTAAAATACACACAGGCCTATTCAAAGCCCCCGGCGCTCACATTACAGCCTCTAATTCGGGAAATTAGGATGCCTTTTGTGTGACATTTCTCAGCCTTTCCTCCTTCCACCATCGCCAATCAAAGATAGGTTGCCGAGTTCAAAGATCCCAACTGATGTTCCGAGGTGGCATTTCTTTTCAATCAAAGGACCCCCAACCCACCCCGCCCCCAAAAGAAACCCCAAACTCCTGCAATCAACAACACGGGTGATAATTAACATCCAGGCATTTGCATTGAAAAGCGGTCCAATTTATAGCTCATTCCCTTCCATTTGCGAATCATTGGCCACAAAAGCCGCTGTTTGCAGAGAGGCGCTGTGCATGTCGCGGCATGCGTTTGCGCTTTCTCTTGCGGCATCTTTTTTTTTGTTTTTTTTTTTTGCGTCTCCCAGGGAAACAAGGTAGGGGTAGGGAAGGGGATGTTCCCGCATGCTCCAAAAAAAGTCAATATTGAACTTGTGTTGGTGGCCTCCCCGCAAACTCCCCATTATTCGCATTGTCACCGACTTCCTGACTTGCTTGCCGCTCGCCTTATCTCGACCTCAAATATTTGAGGAAATGAACCGCTCACTTTGCACCTTAATAGGCATTTTTGTGCATGTCCCCGCAGCTGCAGAGCACCGTCTGGAGTCGGATCCATCGAGCTGGCCTGCCAATAATCATCGATCGGAGTCAAAGCCGCCAGACCTTGGACACAAAAGCCCCATGCGCCTATTGCTACTGGACGGTCTAATTGCGTTTCTCACGCATAATGAGGGCCAGAGACGCCAGGGCCACGGACTTAATCCCGCTGTAGACTTAACCCAATAGGATCAGACGTGATTAATAAGGAAAATTTCACCTTTTTAAGTCAGCGTCTAATTAATAGTCAGCATTCTGGATACTTCCGCCCGTACAGAAAACACGGGTTCTTTCAGATTACAATTAGACACGGATATTTCTACCAATTTTCCGGCTTTCTCTGTTGGATGTAGGTCTGGACTTTGACTGGACCATTTTAACACATAAATATACTTCGACCTAACCTTTACACTGTAGCTCTGACTGTATGTGTAGGGTCTAGGGCGAGTCTCCAGCCATCAATTCCAGTCCAAAAAAGTTAGATTCAGAATACTTTATTGATTCCAAAGGGAAATTAAATGTTGTTGTAATTCTTCAAAGAGTTATTGTAGACAGTGATGGCTGTTGGCTGGAAAGCTCTTCTGTAGCTGTCTGTATTACGAGAAGAAGCCTCTGACTGAAGATTTTCTGTTTTCCCAAGACAGTCTCATGAAGAGGATGGTCAGAGTTAATTTTCTTGATTTTTATGAAGGACCCTTCTTTGCATCGTTATCTCCAGAGGTTCCACAGTTGGCCCCAGAACAGAACCAGGCTTCTTTATCAAGTTGATTAGCCTTTTTAGGTCAAGATTTAGAGACAACATTCTTAATAATAGACTTAAAGGGGTTATGTTCCCTGTGGAAGGAAAGCAACCCCAGACCATAATACTTTTTCTTTCTTCTTATGTAGTTTTTTTGTCCTGCCCAAGCATGTGTGGGTTCTCTCCAAGCCCTCCGACTTCCTCACAGATTCTAATACTCTTTTATAATCTGGTCTTTCTTGATTTACTTTAGGTATGAGTGTGTGTGGAATGGATGAATGGATGAAGAAAGTAACATTTTAGTCCCTGCTGACCAGTTCAAGATCATATTGGACAGACTGTGGATTTCTGCAGCTCTTCCAGAGTTGCCTTCTCTGATTAAAGCTGTCCTTGCCCTGCCTGCCAGCTTATGGGCCGGGAATCTTTAGCCTAGCGACAGCAGCACATCCTAACCTTGGCTCGATGATGAAGAACTGAAAAGTGTTTAAAGGTAGCACAAAAGGTCAGTTTTAAAATGTTCTCAGTTTTTTTTTTTTTTTTTTGTTTTATGCTGCATTTACATAGTATTTCTACTACAGGATGGCACTAAACATTATAGAGGGTCTTTTTTGTTGTTTGGTACTTTTCAAATCCAGCTGATAATAAGACAAGGATGGGTCCCAATCAGTCAGAATTTGATATAGAAGCTAATATCTACTCTATAGGGTGACTTACATCAATTATGAAAAAATATGATATACTCATTTAATTTGCTTATGAAGCTCTCTTAAATGTTTTGGAGTTGTAATTCAGTATATTATTGACATATGTTAGAAAAACTTAAAAGTATTAGAGCCACAAAAACAACATTTAAGCTGCTGATTAAAAAAAAAATAAAAAAAAATCACAACATAAACTGACCGGGGTTGCAGTGAGACATAACTTACACCAGAGGTCGCTGTTGTTCTCTAAAAGAGAACTCCCATCTGAAACGTTTTCATTCATTCACATTTTCATTCATGGGCAAAGTTGGATGCAATATATATTTATTTCTTAATGAAGTATCTTTTTTGGTATTAAATTCAAACAAAACTCTCTTGCAACAAATAAATACTTTCAAAAAATGTGTGAAATTAAAAAAAAAGCTTCATAAATATAAAAATGTACAGAAAGACATGAATCCCCAGACAAGAAAGTGTACAAGGTGCAGAATGAGATCTGAAGATGTAAATAAAACAAAGCAAAAAAAACAAAAAACAAAAAAAAAACTTGCTGTTACAAAGTATAAACTCCCTTACAGGTTTCTTCTATTTGTGCCTTTTTGTCACACATATGTCAGATCATTTAATATCAGACAAAGATAAAGTCAGAATATACAAAAACTAGTTTTGAATTGACAGACTTCAGTTTGAACCTATGTGCAAAAAGTTATTGAAATAGTAAAAGTGTGTAGTTCTTATTTATATATTTGCTGAAATTATTATTATTGCACTATATTTAAGCACAGTTAAATATAGATACTGCTAAAGCAGCAGTACAGAAGAACTCGATTTGTCAACATCTTTCTTTAGTGCCTATACACACTGTGAAAAACAGAGACAACTTCTCTTGTAGCAACTAATTTTATTTACTTGTATAGTTAATAAATTACTGATGAATATTAACACATATCATATAAAGCTTAATGAATTTGCTAAAATAAATTATTTATTGGTAGGTCATTATTAAATTGTGTCACGTTGGGGCTTCCATAGAGGGCCAGGTGTCAGACGCAGACCACTCCACTGCAACGGTATATCTCCATAACTTCAGTGTAATTTAGTCTCTTAAAGGGACAGCACAGTCAAGTCACGGAGAAAATCGTGTTCTCGCTGCACCACCACCACCAGCAGCAGCAGCAGCAGTAGACACACAACCCGCAGTTTCCATTCACAATATTGACAACCCGCACCACAACCAGTCCAACTCCCCCCAGCCCCCTCTGTACAGCAGATGCTGTGACGGGGGCGCCATGATGATGATGATGATGAGCTGGGATTTTGCCTGCAGCAGCCGCCAGAAATCGTGCAACACGGGGAGATGAGCCGATAGAGGAAAAGACGTCTGTGGAGGCACACAGAAAATAATCATGGCGGATACCGACGACAACAATGTCGTCAGTATAGTGAGAGAAGAACCGGTTTTAGGGTCTAAATAAAGTTTTATTTGGGGGCTTTCTCACCAAACGCCTGAGCAAAAATTCAATTTGCAGCATCAGTGTTCAATTTTCTATGTATTATAGCTAGACCATTATTAAAATTGCGAACATGTTTTTTTAGTGCCTACACACACGCACGCACACACACCTACACACACACACAACAGATAGAAATTGAACTGTTATTTGCTTAAATTACCAATATATGCTATATGGTCAACCAGTATAGCATCCCAATGCTACGGAAGTCGCACTGGCTTTCCATTTTGGAAATTGATTTTGATGTGATTCCGAGAATGGGCTAACTGACAACTGAAAGTGGCATAAAGCTGGACTTCCCCTGTTGCTAACCAAGACTTACAATTATATTTCTATGAACAAGCTAAAAATGCATTTGGGTGCCAAAATTACCTTTTGACAGCATTTCTCATGGACACATGTGCAAGGTTCTCTGCTGTTACTCCACTGAGTGAGACAGAGAACAAGCACAAGGGGAAGAATGCAGCAGAGTATGTCTAAAGACCTTAAAGTACTTAATATATGATATTCCTAGTGTGTTTTAGACTAGCCAAATACTGTGCATTCAAACTTTGGTACAATTTATATACACATATACATAATCCCAGAAAAAACTGGGATTAAAAATAAAAGTAAGCCAGTATGATGAGCATTGGCTTCAAACAAACTGAGATTTTGCTTCCTTCAAAGAATCTCAACTGCCATTCTTTCTGGTCTGTTTAAATTCTTGATGTCAATTTTATGAAAAAAATAAAATAAATTAATTAATAAAATAAATTAAAAAAAAATTTGTTTACAATATTGATAAATAAATGTTCATAAATCATAACTGTTGACAATTTATGCTCCTGATAGAGCAAGACAAGAAAAAGCAAATAACATCTAAGAAAACTAAACTAAATAAGCAGCAAAAGACTAACTTTATTTGAAGGGGTGTGCATATGACTGACATGACACTGTCATAAACATGACATAACATCTGTCATGAACATAAAGTCTTTATGAATGTTTATGACAGCTGTCATGAAGTGTCGTTCAGTAAATAATGACACTTTTAATGAAAAGTTGCTCTAAAAGTTGCATTAAAAGTCCATTAAAAGTGCCAACTTTGCATGGTTTTGTAAATTATGATAATTTAATGCAAACCCTTTCAAATAAAGTGTTACCCAAAAGGCTTAAGTAATCTAAGTAACATAATAAGACAACAGGAGGAAGGCAGGAATTGTGACTTTAAAAAAAAGAAAGAAAATTATTTTCTCATCCTGAAGATTTTAAGGGTGGTTTTTGACCTTCATTTTTGCCTCTCTCAAAACAATATACCAGCCTCCTGTTGCTGTCTCGTAAACACCAATGTGAATGCAAAAATATTCAAATTAGATTGTGTCGTTTAGTGATTTCTGACGTGTTGAAGGGTAGCTAATAACTACTGGTTGGTTTTCCCATAATCCACCTCGGCGTTGCAGAAGGAGCGGTCCGCTCGGCTGTCTCCTCCTGTCTACAGTCTCTGACAGACTGACTGTGCAAAGACGGCAAGAAGCGACCGACACAGACCGGCGGGGGAGGCAGGCGGCGCAAAGGAAAGGAAAAGACGGGAGGGGGGAACATTCAGGCAGTGTCCCGTATTTGGAATAACCAGGATCAGAATACAGTTAGTCTTTTTTTTTAAAGTTTTTTTTATTTCTTTTTGACGTGAAACGAGTTTCTTTGTAACCTTCAACAGAAGAGCCGCATTTTTTTTTTTTACCGACTGGACTGGAAACTCCCAAAGTAACTGCAGACAAACTAAGGAGACGTTTGGTTTCTGGACGAAGAATGGGATTTAAAGAACATATCTGCCAGCAGTGAGTTTGAGGCAAACGTGGGGAACGTATCCCAGCAAGAAAGGAGGAAGAACTATCGTAGAAATATTGGAAGTGTGTGCTTATTGCGTGTCCTTTGGTGAGGGGCGGGGGGGGGAAAGCAGCGGGGGAAAGATGGCATTTAGAAGGGAAGAAAAGTAGCGTTAGCGTCAGTTCCCTGGCTAGCTCCGGAGCTAAGCTAGCAGCGGGCTGCTCACTAAGCCTGTGTCGCCCTTTCATTCCTGGAGCAGAGGAGGGGCGCTGGGGCTCTCTGTAGCACTGCGGCTCTGCCGTTGCGTTTTAGGGCTCGCTGGAAGAATGGAGAACCACAAATATCTGCCTCGGCACCAGCTCAGGGAAGACTGTTAATTTTTTCTTTTTAAAAAGGGGGCACCAACTTGATTATATACTGTTTCCCCCAACACTCAGAGGAGAAGAGCGGAGAGAGCTGCAGGAATCCACCGGCCTGGGGCAGCCTGGGACTAGCCTGCTTGTTTTCTTATGCACCCGGAGGGGAGTAGGTACAGGGGGGGTTAAAAATGGATGAGTCGTTCACATATCACCCACCTTATGGATACTGGATCTGTACGGGGAGATCATGAAAGGGTCGGTTTTGCGAACGGAACGAGCTCTATTGTGTCCGCAACACAAAGTTTGAATATTTTCAAGACATCTTCAAGGTGAGAGAACTTCTCTCCAGGCCCTTCTGCGCCAACTAACAGGGCCAGAAGGTGGGGTTTTCAACCCCCCCCCCCTCCTCATTTTATTACTATTATCAATATTGCCGTTTTTATTATTACTATTTTTGATTGCCTTCAGAAGCTAACAGGCCTGAATAAACATGTCGGGAGAGGTGCGTTTGAAGAAGCTGGAGAAGCTGCTCCTGGATGGCCCAGCTCAGTCTAATGGCCAGTGTCTGAGTGTGGAAACCCTGCTGGATATACTGGTGTGTCTGTACGACGAGTGCAACAACTCCCCCATCAGAAGGGAGAAAAATATCCTGGAGTTTTTGGATTGGGGTGAGTTATCTTTTCTTATCTTCCATTAGTTTTTTTTTATATATATGTAATTTTTTTTACTTATCGTTTGGCTTGTTTCGTGCACACAGCCTCCCTGACTCTTTGGGAAAGATAATAACAATGTTGGTGGTGCAGTGGCCCTCCCTTCACCATCACATTCCTTTTATAGTAGTAGTATGGGATCGCTCGGCTTTCTCTTCTCTTTGCTGCAAGGCCTCGGTGTTCTTGTGTAATGCAAAGTTTTATATGGTTTTGGCAAGTTGTAACGCATGGCAAGCTGTCAAGAGTACAGGGGGAAAAAATCCATTTAAACTGAAGTAAAGTAAAGAAAAGCTTGTAAAGGTTTTTTTTTTTTTTTTTTTTTTGGTTACTGCAAATCCAGAAATTATTTCCTTTGGGAGGGTCTAACCTGCACAGATCCTTAAGATATATTTGATTTTTGATAATTTCAGGTGAAGAAAATACTTTATTTATCCCAAAGGGAAATTAAAAGTTATTGTTTAAGTACCTTCAAAATAATTTTGGGATGAAAATTCTCATGGCAAGAAGGATCTTCAGTAGCAGTCAGACTTGCAACAAATCCAAAGAGGCTTCTGACTGAAGACTGTTCCTGTATGACAGTCTCATAGGTATTTATTTGAGCTTTTTAGATGCTCCTAGTTGCAAAACAAAACAACATGTTGCCATGGTTCTAAAAATAAAAAAGTGAGTGTAAAAGTCCTTAAAGCTGCATATTACACTATTATTCAAAAACTGAGCTAGCATAGAAAGAGCTACTCCCACATGCTGACCAGTGCAATACCAGCAAGAAAAGAAAAAGTGCATCAAAAGTACCTGTAGTGGGTCGATTGTGTTAATCGATATAAAATGATGGGAAATCTTAGTTTTTATGTCTTGAAATGGGGAAAAAAATCATCAAAATCTTCAGTATTTGAATTGTTGACCACTGATTAGAGCTAATCAAGGGGAAAGTGTCCGGTTCTGATCTCTGGGCCAACACACACTCCATGTGTGTTCAGGTGAACATATAATGATATATGGGGAAAAAATATACTTTGATATATTTAAAATATACCGTCCAGATCATTTTGTTACCTGTACTTTGTGTTCTCTGTTGCAATCAAACTATATAACCAGAGGCAATTTATTTTTCTGTCTAGTTCTTTTTTTTTTTTTTTGAAAATACTGGACATTAATCACAATAAAATCCCCAAATTTCACCTAGAATGTTCTGTAGTTCTATTTTATTTTCTAAAGATCTTCTATTGTAAAAAACAGTCCAGTTACTGGTGGTCTAAAGGTATTTCACTTCTTAAAATATTTGTAATTAGACACTAGAGAAAGATGCAGTGCTGCTTCCCTTCCAACCTGTTGCTGTGCACTGCCAGTCAGCTGGCTGAAACAAGGTGGCTACTCTTTCCCCTCTCTCAGTTCAGTCTTATTATGTATTTTCCGTTAAAATCACTGTGGACACCCCGCGAAACAGTTGTATTTTTACTCGAGGGTTAAACAATGAGAATCTCAAACTGCCCCATTGATGGTTCCTTGTGATTTAACCAAAAATTTAAGTCGCACAACCACATTTTCTTACAGTAGACCAGGAATAGATTACACAAAGTTACTTTCAATAATCGGTTTTCAAAGCAGATACAAAAAACGTTTTTCCATGTTATGTTTTTTTTTTTTTCTGTATGGGTGAGGTGAACCCAGTCCGTATCAGCACACACTTAATCAGGTTTTGTAACCGTCTCGCTCTGTAGTCGAATCAAACTTGGGCAAGAAGTAAAACACAGGAGGCAGAAGGGCCACACACACACACACACACACACACACACATACATGCACACCACGCACGCACGCACACATACACACACAACAATGCAATCCTTTTTGCCTTGCCAGAAGCACTTTGTGTGTGTGTGTGTGTGTGTGTGTGTGTGTGTGTGTGTGTGTGTGTGTGTGTGTGTGTGTGAGTGACATTGGGGTTTGGTTTGTGCATGAAGCAGGAATGTGAACAACTCACCTTTTTTTTTTTTTTTTTTATCTAGCGCAGAGGCCCAGCTCACTGCCGGAGCATGCCTGGCTGCCTTGTTCGCCCCTCTCTCTCTTATTCTCTCTCTTTTTTTAAGCTAAAAAAAAAAAAAGAAGTGCAGGAGCAGATTGTTCCCTTCACAGGCAGAAACATGAATCAAGACAGATTAATAATACAGGAGGCATTAAGAAATGCGTGCATAATGGAAAGCGACGGGTTGCTTTGGCGGATGCCGTCTGAAGGACTGCATTGCAGGAATGGTTTTGGGCCGAGGGGTTAAACGGGTAGCAACAGGCTCTGACAAAGACGCACAAGGAGGCAGTAAAGTTCAGTCAAACGGTGGGATAATTTGGTTGAGTCCGTACCACCTGGTCTCCCCACTCCCCCCTGAAACGGTGTGGAAGTCAGGCGCAGGCAAGTTCTGTCGCAGGTCCTTGTCTTTGAGGACGCTCAGCTTTGGACGCCAGTCGCCGCTTCTCAGCTGATCAGCAGCATCTAGCCGGAGCCTTGCAACAATGCCAGAGGTGCCGCTGACCTTTTTAAGATGCAGTGCCAACTCGGTGACTTAATCCTGACGTTTTCCTGTGTTGACACCAGAAACTCTTAACTGGTCTCAGCCAAACACAACACACGCCACTCGGATGCGTCCGAGCCTCCATACCCGCCCTCAGGTCCCACGTCGCTCTTCAGGGACAGCTAATGAGTCTCCAGCAACTGTACAATAATGAGATTATGTGTAATGAAGCTTCAAGGCTTATTTGTGTTTATATTTCAACAAACTTAAGTGATTGTTCATATCAGGTAACCTCAAGAGATTTTATGTCACATTGGAGGAAGGGCACAAAGACTGGAGGCAGCAGCTTGTTCCGTGTAGGTTGGAGGGTAATCTTTAACTGGCTTTAGTCTTTACTAAACATAATTTAATAAGACAATTGATTTCTGTTTCCTTCTTTTAGAATTTTGTGATCATAAAGAAAAGATCATTGTGCAGGTTAGTTAAAGTCTATTGACTTTACCCATGATTTTTTACAAAATGGACTCAAATGTTTTCAGCCACTGCTTAAATTCAGATTTACCACATCTGGTTTCTTCTGGTGCAGAATTATGACGCTTGTCTGGCGTCATTGACGTGGAAGTCGGATTAAATGTGACGTGACTGTTAAGACTGCTTTAAAAACAATTGGATTCATATCTGACTTTGTGCTTTTTTGGTAGGGTGGGGGGTAAAAAAAAATTGGAATTGGGGTGTGAAAAAAATCAAATATGGATCAGATATTGGCAGTTTTTTTTTTTTTACTACAGTTTCTTCCACTTCTGTAAAAACAGTAGTATTTTTCTTTTCAAGCACAAATCCATACCATCTGGGAATGACAATACACCCTCATGTTGGTTGGTGAAACTAATAAGTAAAGTTGGACGACCTTGGAATTAAAAACTAGTGACGTATTGACTTTTCAAACCTGGACTTTTTTTCTGCCACGGACTGGACCCAAATCTGATTCTTCTTTGTCTTTTGTTGATGTGGTTGCTTCCTTTTGGACAAAATATGACGGGCTGTGTGTTGGGGGTGGGGCGGTTCTTCCCCTTATGACCAAGTGTGATAGTGAGGGGAGTTTGGGGATGAGCTTCCCCTACATGAAAGTACGATGTGACAATGGAGGATATTTTCTCTGTGACAAAGTATGAGGCACTGGGTGGGGCAAGAGGTGTTTCCTCTTTAGCAAAATGTGATGAGGCCCCCACAAAAATAGCCCAGTAGATTGCATATGCTACTGGGAAATTTTATTGATGACAAAACTGAAATATAATAAGTTAGTTTATGTGTGGCTTGGTAATGAAAGCCTCCAGGACCAGTACCAGTGGCCCGATGGTTTCTGCTGTTTCAGAGTCCCAGTTTTCATGAAAACATGACAAAAATCACATCTCACCTTTTTCCCTGAGATCCCAGCACTGTGTCCCATCTAGTTAGCTAACCTTTCTGTACCACCCTTAGAGCATACATTATCTGCTTACTTTGGCTGAATCAGCAGTTAAGTACAAAGATTGGAAGAGGGGCTTTAACAATAATCGAGGAAGCATTCCGTCATTTGCAAAAGGAAACCGTATCCCACTCTGACAGGATCCTAGCGCTGCGATAAGACTCCACAAAACAGCAGACCGCACCTTGGTGTCACAGCCGGCACCAAAATTGGGATAGAATTAGGGTCAAGTCCTGTCTTGTCCTTTAAAGAAAAAAAAAAAGCGTTTGAAAGTGTCACCACTCCCATCTTTTCTTTTGTTCTTTGGAAGAACATCCCGGCACAGGGTCAAAGGGAAAAAATGCACACCTGTTACATGTGTAACACACCGAGGAGCTGCAGTCTGAGCCAAGAAGGGAAGGCAAAGAGCAACACCGTCTGTCTGGTTGTACTTTACTAAACCAAACCCACTTGTAGCAATTTGGAAGCAGATTTGAGCAAACATACAGTATAAAAGCACACCATCTTTTTCCTGGGAGCCAAACATTTGCCCTGGGTTTCTTGTTTTGCTACCCCCTGTTCTCCTACATCAACCAGTTTCAACCGCAGCTCTTGTATCTGATCCATCTCTTTAACCTTTCTCTAGTTTGACTGCTTTGGCAAATTCTGCGTAGAAATAATAAAATCTGAAACGTTTCTTTGCCCGGAGACAAATAATCCACTCATTTTTCCAGAGATCAAGCCAACAAATAAAGACACTTTCACTTTCATATTGATTCATTTCCTAACGTGGGTTACTTTTCGAAAAGTTGCACAATGTCAGCCCAGGGAATTGATACTATTGCATGTAGAGCTGAAGATAGTGTTAAGTTATGCATCAGAAACACTATTTCCTGTTAAATCCTACACTGCTTCCTGTGTTTCGGGGCAGCTGGATGAAAAGGGGCACCGGTGCCAAGCCACCAGCGACCCAACCCGGGGGAGTTCGCCTGACCTTTTCTCCCAGTCCG